AGCCAAAGCTCAGGGTTCGGCTTCCGTCCCGGGCTCCAACAAGTCTAATGCCAGCCCCGGCAACCCCATTGAAACAGTTTGGGATTCCAACCCACTTTGGGGTCCCAACCCACAGTTTGAGAACCTCTGTGTTAACCCAATAACCAGTCTGTGTTTGATATTTTCATAATTTGCATTCCCAAAATCAGTTTTCATCCAATATAAGTAAGTGACTGGAGAATGATCCTATGCCACAAGATTATGGGAAAAGATGTATTAATGGGTGATATCGTGAAAAATTAACAGTAAGAGTAATTTTTTGCTTACAAGATATCTGGTAGACACATTTTTCTAACACATGCCCTAACCGCAGGGTGCATGATGTGTTAATGAGATAGTTAGAATCACATTATAAAAAGAGGATACCCAGATTAGGAAAATTGAGCTCCCTATGGGAAACTCCATCAGGAGCCATCCCTCTACTGATAATCAATCCATGAGAGACTCATCAGACTCTAACACTATCTAGGAGGATGTGAGTATAACTATATTTGTAACTTGTGTATAGGTCTTTATAGAATTTCAATATGCTTAGGTAATCATAACCTTAACTATAATTGACTAAAACTTGTAAAACAGACGAGACCTTGTACTTGTGAATGTATGTACAGACACTACTCTTGGTCTTTATGTGCTCCTAGAGACTCTAAATCTGACACAAGTAGCAGAGCTGACTTCCACTCTGCTAAGCTTGAAACTAGCCACTGAAGAGCTGAACCCACGATGGTGTCATACCACATTGCAAAATTCACTTTAAATAAAATAAAAGGCTACAAGCCCTTTTTAAAAATTGGCATTGCATTAGCTACCTTCCAGTCATCAGAGGTACAGAGGTACAGAGGCTGATTTTCCATGACAGGTCACGTACCACAGGTAGTAGCTCTGCAATTTTATGTTTGAGTTCCTTCAGAATTCTTGGGTGAATCCCATCTGCTCCTGGTGACTTAGTACTGTTTAGTTCATCAATTTGTTCTAAAACCTCTTCTCTTGACTTCACTGCTAAAAAGAGGTCTGTTCATTTTACCTCTGCGTAGCTGTTGCACACAAGCTATCCTGAGGTGAAAAAACAGTGAAGAGAAGGCACTTAAATTTTATCCTGAGGTAAACTAGGTGAGGTCAAAACTATACACCCCTGCCTGCTTGCGGTTGATCTTGCCTCATGTCATTTAGCTTTCAATAAAAGTAAAATGCCTTGCCTTCACTGTGATTTTTACCTCAGGATAGCTCATGCATGCTAGTTACCTTGAGGCAAAACAACCATATCTGGTCTTAGCAGTAAATACAAGGCCTAAAAGTAAACTTCATGATACTCAGTTGATTTATATCAGAAGGGTGATGGGTTGAGACTCCTCTCCTGTAACTTGAATGTGTGTTTCCAGAAGATATTTCAAAAGGGGGGGTGAAATCCTTGACCTCAGTGACTTCAGTTTTGCCACAGACCCCAACGAGGCCAGGATTTCATGCCTGATGTTTATCCTCTTCAGATGGTGAAGGAAAGAATGTCACCTTCTATGAGTTAGCTGAACATTACCTTGTTTAATCAGTGGTCTTAAAAGGCTTAGGCCGAAGCCTGCTTCCTTTGAAACCAGTGGGGATTTTGCCATTAGTGTCAATGGGACTAGGCCCCAAGACTGAGGTGTTTAATACCTTTCTCACTGGCCCTTCTAATTCCTTCATACTGGTATAACTATGTCGATAAAAATCAGAAATTTAACCAAAATAGATGTACTGGTACAAAGTCTGTTTAGAGAGAAGAGAAAAATAGACAAGGCAGATATTTGCAGCATCTTTTTGACTGGGCCCACATGAACCATGGAGCCTGTTGATTTTTGCCTCACTGCAGAGCTGTGTGCTTATCAACGTAATTGAGTAAGGGTACGTGTAGGAAGGGACTGACAATCCAGCAGTCCTTTATTCCAATCCACATAGTTTAGTAAAGAAATCTGAGCATTTTGCTTCTTTTTTCCCCTCTTTTTTTCTTTTCAGTATCACCCCATTGCTGGAACAGATTGCACTGTATACGCAGGACTCTTCATTTTCAGTTTTTATTTTAATTTTTCCTGAGAATTTATTGGTGTTTATTACAACAACAAAACCAGCTGAAAATCAGTGCAGAAACTATTAATAATTTTTCTGCGTAAATATCAGGGTTTATTCTGGTGGACAGAAGGACAGATTTTCATTTTCTTCCCATTTTAGTGTGTCAAATCTTTTAACCGTTATCTGCTAGCAGCTTGAAATGTTTACGTGGTAGGCGTGAGATTCATCAGTATGTTCAGATGGGCATGCACTTCAGAGCTTGCATGCATGCCTGTTTGTTTATTGTGTGTATCTTCTAGACTAATACATGGCCTTACTTCAATAGGCAGCTTTGCATACACACAGAGACTAATGTATTATCATTATACATATATTTCATGCAATGTATTGCATTTTCCTAATAAAACAAGTTATTTTTATACATTTGAATGATGCAAAAGTAGGGTGAAAATTGGGAAAAAACGAATAATACTTTTTGTAAAACCCAGGATTTTTTCAGTAAAAATCGTTTGAAACTGAAAATGAAGGGGCTTATGTATAAGATATATACGCTCCCATAAGGCCCTCCCTAGAGAGCTATTCATTATTATTATTAGCACTTATTACTATTTATTTTATCATCACTATTATTAGAGCTAGTTGTAAAAAGCAAACTTTTTTTTGCAAAAACCCTTGAAATTTTGAACATTTTCAACTAGCTGTAATAATCCTTTTTATTTTATTATTTATGTTCCACTAGGTGGGTTCTAAGCATTGAAAGGAAGTAAAAGGCAAGGTCCTTCCACCAAAATACCTACAATCTAAGGTTTAGAAACACTTCTGTAACCCACTGGGTTACAGTGTGCCCTTCTGTGTCTGAGACATCTTCGATAAGCTATGGCTACTGCCCCCATATCTAGAGCCTGGCTCTTTAGCTGAAGGAGTTCATGCTTTTAGCTCTGGAAGCCCCAGTTCAATCCCCAGTGTATGCCAAAATGACCGTTTTTGCATGGGCTTAATTTATGTATGTGAGTAGGTTCATGCGCAGGTAGTCCCATGTGCATAAACTTAAGCACATGACATGTGTAATTATTTGCATGATCTGGGCCTAACTGTTTTGTTAAGAAAAATGTCGTCTTTGAGGACAGAGCTCAGGACCTTTGGATTACAAGACTGGCCTGTAGTCTATTATGTTAAGAAAGCTCTAAAACTATGTTCAACTGGGAGCCTCTAGAAAGTCTGAGGTGTCTCTACCTAGATTTGTATATCCAGAGGCCAGACATTCTCAGTGAAAGTCACTTCTCTGGACTTTTCTCTTCCCTTGATCCAACAGGCCATGAGTCTGTTGGCCTTCAGGACTCATTAAAATAGCAAGGCCCATTTGATTACCTAATACTTTTTTGGTGTGGTTTGAGTGGGTGGGGTGGGATGGGCTGGTTAAGCTTGTGAATATAGGCCTGATTCTCTGCTCCATTACACAGGAGTAAAATGGGTGTAACTCCAGTCCTGAAGCTTGCTTCTGATGGGCTATAACATACAAGTAAATGATCATGGGGATGTTTGTCACACTTGGTGAGTTACAGGTTTTGTTACTGGTTTTGGCTTTTATATTTTTCAAGTTGGAAGCAGGGGCAAAGTGAGCGGGGTGGCAGGAGGGGGTTTGTAGAGACAAATAGGGTGGGGGAGGGGGAATATTGGGCAGTGGGAGTGAGGCTGACAGTGAAGGGGAGAAGGGGTTGGGGCAAACAGCCCAGGCTCAAACCATGAATTCAGATGACAGCACTGCTGTCCAAGGGGCTGTGAAGATCTGGGGCGGTCGAAAGGACACCCCATCTGGATCTCACCACCCCACTTGTGTTAATGGATGCCCCTGGCTTGTTTTGTGGATGCTCCTGCAGGGGCCAAACAGCTGCTGCTCATGCCCCAGAAATCCTTCCTCTATTGATCCTAGATGGGGTCCACACAGGGGCATTTGTCCCTGGTTATTCCTTGGCTCTTCCCAGTTCCAGATGGGTGAATCTCTGGTTCTGCTGAACCAGGATCTAATTCTTTACTGGAGCCAGCCTGGCTGGGGATGGGGGAGGCAGCTGGGGGGTTGTTGCAAGGGTCCCTATCAGCTTCAGAGCTGGGAGTGGACCTCCCCCCAGGCTGCAGGCCAGCTGCTTCTGACTCTTGCTAGGGGTGATTCTCTGGCTCTGGGCAAGGCTTTCTCCCCTGAGCCCATGTGGCTGAGATGGGTCACCTCCTGTGAGTAGCGGGTTCATCTAGGGATGGGGGCAAAGGATCTACCTGGGCATCCCCCCCCCCCTCTGGGCACCGGCTACTTCCATCCTTTTGCCCAATCCCACCCTCCCTCCAGCAGCATGTTTCCCTGCACCGAAGCAGCCGGGTAGCCACAAGTCCGGCCTGGCGGCTGCCGTGTTCAGACAGTCCCCTCCCTCCCAGGGTGGCTGAAAGCATCCGAGGACGCTGCGCTCCCTCCCCGAGCCCGGCACGCTTCCTGGGGGCGCCTTGGCCAGCCGCTGCTCCCCCGACGAAACCCTCTGCGGGGCCCAGGGCAATGCACGCCCCCCCCCCCCCCCGGTTTCCTTCTAAACTCCTCGGCTTTTCACTCCCACCCTGGTCCCACTGCCGCGATGCCAAGCCCCAGCCACTCCACCCGCGGACACCAGCGCCTCGTCGCTCGCTTGCAGAACCCCTGGGGCAGCGGAGAGGAGGGCTGGGGAATGCGGGGGGGGGGGGGGGGGGGGGGGAAGAGTTTGATTGAAGGGCCCTGCTTTGGATAAACCCCGCCCACCCCTCTTTCTCATTCGCCCCCCCTCCTGCTTCCATATTAATGAGGCTAGCCAAGGGGAGGGGATTGGCTCAGTGCCCCTCCTCCCCCCTTTCCTTTTCTCAGGCACTTGTGTGGAGCTGGGGGTTGGGCGGGGGGGCAGGGGGGCTTGCATTTCCCCGCAGGACCGGCTCTCGTCTTTGCAGCGCATTGTCTGGGCATGAGACTCGCACCCAGGGGAGCGCAGGCTGGCTGGGGCTCGCGGGCTGTGCATCTGATCCAGCCTCCCCGCCCTCCCCTTTCCCCCGGCTCCTCGGAGCGCAAATTAATTACTTGATTAAAAAAAAAAAAAGTTTGCAGCCCCCTCCTCCGGCGATGTAGCAATGGGAAATTCCTTCACGGCACAGAGCGCGCCAATGCCTTGTGCAAGGGCAGCCCGGAGGCGCGTGGCAGGGAAGGGAAGACCAGGGAGGGGATTTTTAATTCCTTTTGGAGAAATCAGACCGTGTGTGTGAAGGGGCAGCCTAGCTCCCTTTGGTCCATTGCATCTCCTGGATTGCTCGCCACCTACTTGAGTCAAGCAGATCGCGACTGCAGTTGCCTTCAGCCTCCCCCAGCTCCCCCCCCCCCACCTTGCCTTGCTCACCTGGGAAGGTGAAGAATGCATCTCCAAGATTGGGACCGACCCTTGCTGCAATGGTAAGCCCTGGTCCCTCTTCCTTCCAGCGCGTGCTGTACTTGGCTTGCAGTGATTTTGCTCCTCTCGCTTGCTGGGTCTCACTGCTTAGCTGGAGACTGGATGGCAGCTGAGAGCTACCCGTGCCATGCTTTAGTTGAACCCTGACTTGACCAAGTCGGTGCCTTGATGGTAGTCCGTAAGGAGAGCAGGGATGCGGTAAAGGAAGTGGGAATGTGAGTTGGGTTGTGTTGCAGGAGTGACACTGATTTGCTCGCTTTCCCAGTCCCTGGATGGGAAAATCACACCCAAGCGTCTTTCTGCCTCCAGCAACCACTGCATGTATCTGTGGGGTGGTGGTGTTTGTTTGTTTGTTTTTTCTTTCTTTAAAACCAAACAACTGGGGACAGGCTAACGTGTTGTTGGTATGTGGATCACGTCTGGTTTTAATGCAATATGGCTGGTAAATAAAACCTGATTGCTAACAGAGCCAGGGCTGCGATTGGTATTTTTCTGGCTCAACGCTCCCTTGCACACTTCTGCATCTTCGTTCACCTGCCGCAGCAACTCTGATTCGCCCTTCTACCAATGCGCCAAAAGGGTTAGCGAGACTTCTCTGGTTTTACTATGAAGTAGTAGCTAAAATCTCTATTCTTGTACCGTAATCTCTGTTGGGGGTTGGGAGGGGCTTTCTCTTATCCGTATTTGAACAGCTTGTTCCAATATTTCCATCTCTATGCAAAGCACATTAAAGTCAGAGCTACCAAACAGGACTTCTCATCTTACTGCTGTGTTGTTCCCTGAACCTGCCATGTGCAGTGGTTGGGGCTGTGGTTGTACTGGAATCTCATCATTTGCATCAACAGCAGAGAATATTTAATGTCTGGAGATATAGCTACAGCATCAGGGGAGGGGTGCAGATTTCTTTTTTTTTTTTTTTTTTTTTAACATGGTGATATTTGTGGCCTGATTCTCATCTCACTAGGGTGTGTACATGTGAAGGAACTCCTCTGAAGACAGTGGATTTCCTCTGGGTTTAAGCTGGGGTGGGAACAGAATCTGGCCCTTTGCTTGCAAAACATGTGGGATATCATTGCAGATAAAACCACTGGACAAAAAAATCAAACCAAACACAGTCAAATTGTAAATACCTTTATAATATTTTAATATCCTTCATGGTTGCTTATACAAGGCGTATGTTGTACAGTTATACCCATCTACAAATTGATTGAAGCAGGTTATTTTAAATCTGACAAAGTACACATACATTTTTGTGTGTGTGTTACTCTGTTTAGATATGCCTCTATCTCCCTTCAGCATTCCTGTACCTCATAGGATGGTTAAAATTGGGGAAACAATTGACGGGAGCATATTTTTTTAAAAAGTAAATAAATGCTTGCTGTATATTATTACTGTCAGCTGGACCAGGAGGGTGAACTCCTTAACCTGATATAGCTATAAATACACAGAGAGACTACTTTTGACAGGCTTTCATGTTCATATAATACAAAAATTCACTCCTGACAGCTCTGTCTTCAAAGAAGTTTCCCACTGGATGGACATAACAAAACAGTTACATTCTGATGAAGAACCGAAGCAGGTCATTTGATGTAATGATTTGTAGATTCCAAGGCTATAAGGGACCATTGTGATACTGACCACTTGTACAACACAGACTGTAGAACATCCCTAAAATAATTCCTAGAGCAGATCTTTTAGAAAAAATATCCCATCTTGATTTAAAAATGATGAGTGATGGAGAATCCACCATGACCCTTGGTAAATTGTTCCAATGCTTAATGACTCTCACTCAATTAAAAATGTATAACTTATTTCAGATTGAGTTTGTCTAGCTTCAACTTCCAGCCATTGGACTGGGTTATACTTTTCTGTGCTAGTCTGAAGAGCCCATTATTAAATATTTGTTCGCCGTGTAGGTTCTTACAGACTGTAATCAAGTCACCCTTTAAATTTCTCTTTGTTAAGCTAAATAGATAGACTCAGAAGAGCTTACTCATTATACGGCATTTTTTCTAATCATATAATCATTCTCGTGGCTCTTCTCTTAACCCTCTCCAACTGATCAATATCCTTCTTGAATTAGGGGCATAATGATAAGACATGGACTGAAATTTTTCTGTCTGTATCTTAGCTACCGTTCAGTTTTTTGTCTCTGGCTGAGGGCAGCAATTGTTGATGTATTGAAACTGAAGGTCAAATAGAATTGATCTGTTTTCACTGGCAATCACTTTTGAGGACATGGCATGGAAGGCTTTTTGTTTTGTTTATTAATGTGCATGTATGCGTGCTTTAAATGTGTTGCAGTGAGCAGGATTGCTGCTTGAACTGAATCGATGGTTAGATAACTGGTCGGTTCTCCTGGCTAAGAAGAAGGAAAGCCTGCTGGTCCAGCTGATTTCTCTTTGAATAGGGCTGCTCTGTAAATAATGGAATACACAGTGGCTAATCAGGTTCTGATGTTCCATCATTCCTTGACAACACAACACCTAGAGTGTACCTTTTTCCTCATGCATGTAATATCTGCCGTTTGTACTACAGATTCACAGCCACACGTAGCCATCTAGAAGTGCTCTACTCTGCCCATATCTGGAGGGTGTAAACACCAAGGCAGGAGAGGAATTGTTTAGGATGCTACCAGGGTGAATAATTTTAAGGGTTGGGGTGGCATTAAAATTAGGAACATTTACATGAAAAGTAAATAGCGAAATCTCTTAGACTGTGGAATACTCTATTGGCCACTTCCAACCCCTGGTTCCTGACTGCTCTCTTGGTATTCAGGTTTTTCTCATCCCAGCTCATAGCAGCCAGCATTCTGGGGACAGTGTTTTGGGATGGTTTTCCTGTGCCTCTGCCTTTGACCATTTGTTCCAGCAGGGGACCCGATACCGCCTCATCTGAATACAGAGGATTGTTTTTTTTTTTTTAATTCCTTCTGAGCACTTAGTACAAAGTAAGTCTAACTCCAAAATTATCTTTTAATAAAACCCAGTTCTTCAAATTAAGGAACAGGGAAAAGTCAAAGCAAATCCAAGGCAGGTCATGTACTTTAATTCTTATATGATCTAAAGTCTAGGTGGAAATCTTGCTAGAACAGGTCAGATCTTACAGTTACTACTGATTTAAGCCAAAGTGCATTCAGCTGGTGTAAATCGGTACAGCTCCACGGACTTCACTTTCTTGGATTTATACCAGCTGAAGATATGGCCCCTACAGTTCATGTGTGACAAGTCATTTCTGTTAGCATATCAGTCTGACCTTAAAGTCAGCAAGGAGTATTCTCCCAAGAGTTTATGCCCCTGTGTTTTTACTGCCTGTGCCCCTTTGATGTTTAAATCTGAACATCCTGTATTACCATTATAGGCATGAAGGGTCTGATTCTCCTCTCAGTTAGGGCCTGATCCAATGCCCATTGACATCTCACTAGGAATGGAGTGACCTTTTACCCCAGTGCAAATCTGGAGCAACGACACCACTGAAGTCAGTGACGTCACACCAGTGTGGGTCTGTTTCTCCTTGTCCTTACCCCACTTTAAAAGCCATCTTTTGTGGCAAAATACCGTCGTGGGTGCTGGAACTAGGGGTGCTGGGGGTGCTGCCACACCCCGTGGCTTGAAGACATAATAACAGTCCAAATACATGGTTTCCACCTTCAGCACCCCCACTACAAAAATTGTTCCGGCAACCCTGCATATAGGCAAGGACAATCGCCACACCACTGAGTAAACTTATTTCTCTGGGTTTCATAATTCCCCTTGAACTTTATTCCTGATATGTAATGAAGCTCAGCATCCCTTGAGAGAGCTTTCCAATTCCCACTTAGTTTAACATGCAGCACTTCAAAGAAATCCTTTGAAGCTGAGTGTGTTCGATAGCTACACGCAACACATACTAGACATGGGCCTTCACTCATCTGCTGTGGCTGGCTGCAAAGCTGTGTGTCCCTTTGGATGCCAGTTGTTAGAGCGGATTGGAAAAATGAGGGGGGGTTGAGAAATTCATACATTTTTGGCAGATTTTTCACCTTTTTCTGTTTTCTTGTTTGTTTTTGTTTGGTCGTTATCTGATTAGCTCTAATAAATCATGCTGTCTCGCTTTTGAAACCTCCCAGCTGTCCTTGCTTAAACATTTACATAATGACAAAATTTAAACCCTCGAGAAACACTTTCAAAGTTCCTAGGGGCCAGATTCCCAAGCCCTTATTCATGCTGTGTAATACCTTAAACATGTATGTGAGTGAGGCTACTTGGAGCGAAAAAGTGATTGGAATCAGCACCCTATGGTTTTAATAATTCCAATGTATATCTCATGATCAGGGGTTGGATTGTCCCATCTCCCAAAGGACCGTGTGGAAGCCCTTTGTTCAAGACAGTTGAAATTAGAATGGATAATGTGCTGGAGAATATAATGTGGGAAACAATCATGCACGGATATAGGGATGGAGCTAATAGTACCCTTCCAGCGTTTTGCTGCTCTGAGTCTGTGATAATAGTACTATCCATCTGAGTTATTCTAATACAGTTGCCTTATCAGGGTGAGCTAGTCAGCCTTTAGAATCTTAGTTTCTCCACTCAGAAGACAGATTATTGCTTTGCAAATCAATGTGACAACCATATTACCACTTAATTTCAGTGATACTGTTTGCAACACCATGGGTAAGTAAGAGTGTGCCAATTTTTCCATTATAATTATTTTTTAGGGCACATATTATGAATCTCAATTGAAACTAGTCAGACATGATGTTACTTTACAAAATACATTTTTTAAAAAATGTTTTACATGATATTACTTTAGGGTGCATTTAAAAAAATCGTTTTAGAAAGTGTGAAAACATCTATTTAAAACAGGCAATTTTATAAATGTTTGTTTAAAAAAATCCTAACAAATCTAGATTGTTCATGTAACTCTTACACTTTTTCCTTACAACAGAAATGAAAGGGATTAACTCATAACATTGCTTAATTATTTTTGGTATGTATTTAAATTAATCACTTTGGAAATGTTAAGGTTTAAAAGTTTCCCATTGCACAGAGCTACTTCTGACACAGATATTTAAGATTTGTCTGTCTGTTGTTGTTAATAATACCTGGCTCTTATATGGGGCTTTTGATCAATAGGTCTGTAAGGACTTTAAAAGGAAGGTCAATTGCATTATTCCCATTTTACAGATGGGGAAACTGAGGCCAGGGGAGGTGAAGTCACTTGCCCAAGGTCACCCAGCTGGCCAATGACAGAGCTGGGACTAGAACTGAGGTCTCCTGAGGTCCAATCCAGTGCTCTAATCATTATGAAATGACAATCACAGTAGCATTTTGGTACCACTTTGAGATCTTTGGATGAAAGGCGCTCAGTCCCTGGAAATTAACTGATCATTATAATTTACTGACTGTTATTTATAGGCTCTGGTAAATGTTGAATGGGACTGATGGATAGTGGGAAAACTCCTCCTGTTTTATATACATACTATCAAATGATTTAAAAATAAAACATGGAATGGATTTTTATTTTTCAGTTCTCTGATGCAGGGCCCAGTTCTGCCACACATCCTCCCCCGGAGGAGTACATGACTCTGCAAGCTGCCTTGTTGATATCAAAAGGAAGAAGGTACTACTCAGTCTGAGTAAGGGTACCAGAGTAGGGCCCCATT